CGTACGGTACCAGGGGCATTTCTGCAAAGGCCCCGAGGGCAGAACTGAAAAATGCAGTATTTGAAAGTGGCGCCCGAATTGCAGCATGGCGCCAGTTGTCCAAAATCCTACGGTACCAAAAGGAGGGGTTTGGAAAAAGGGTGCCAGGCCGAAAATGGGATGCAGCCGAAACAGCAAAAGATAGATCAGGGATCGAGCCCTGGCGAAGTCCGTAACAGTAGGTACTGAGCCCACAGCACTGTTTTCAACAGCCTGCGGGTGCTAGTTTGTAGGTGTACCGTTTGAGCTAGGTCAGTTGGTGCTTGTCCCACATGCCTATTCTCAACAGTTTGCGGGTGTACCAACTGAGCTAGGCCCACCAACACTGATCCCACAGGCCCGTTTTCCAACAATCTGTGGGTGGACCAACTGAGCTAGGCTCAGCGGCATCAGTCCCATTAGACTGTTTTTCAACAGCCTACAGGCGTACCGACCGAGCTACTGCAGGTACAGATCCCGCAGCAGTCCCATTAGACTGTTTTTCAACAGTCCGCAGGTGTACCACCAGAGCTAGGTCCACAACTGCCGTTCCCACAGGCCTAGTTCTCAACAGTCTGCAGGTGTAACAACCAGGTTTGGCCCTAGTGGCATCGGTCCCACAGGACTGTTCACACTCATTCTTCTCACAACAATTCGTGGTTGGCAGATGGTGCGACTGCAGTGTGCCCGCACCAGGGCTCCCTCTGGCTGTGACTTACCTAGGCACAGTTCACCCTTTTTCGGGCCACGACGGCATGCTCTTACATCAGCCTCCCACAGCAGATCGCGTTTGGCGAGTGGTGCACTTGCAAAGTGCCCCCGCCACTCGGGTTTCTTCCGCTCCGTGGGCTATGGACCCACCGACTCGCACACACGTTGGCCCGATCTGTTCGAGCACCAAGACGGGTAGGATAGAGGAACCTTGTCAGTACCCTGAATACGCAGAACCCCGAACGCCACCACTAAAAGAGGTGTGCGCTCAAGGTCCTAGAATGTTGTGACGGCCACCGGCGCGGGTCCTTTGTCGTTCCCTGGTGCAATGTTGGTCACTACAGCTCGTGCTGGCACGCACCCCTGCGTTCAAGGTCAACGAAGGGGCGACAAAGTCGCTCTCCGCCCCTGTTTTTCATCTTTCTTTGCGGTACTTCTTCGCCGTCGGTCCCGGACCCAGTTTCCGGCCTGGTCGACAGACGGGAAAATGGAGAAAAATAAAAATAAATAAAAATAAACCAATAGAAATAAAAATAGTAGAATTGAAGAGGACGATGACCTGCCGACGCCCTCCTGGTCTTGCCAGTCGAACCCAGGCTTGGGCCCGTCCGGAAAAAAACAAGTGGGATAGTCCCTTGAGACCCTCGACCCCTCAGTCGCCGCCTGTCGGGCTTCTTTGCTCCGTTGCCGCTTGCTGACCTTGAACCCCAAACCTGTCACTGAAAGTCCAGTACCGTAATCATTAGAACTAGGCCGAAGGCTAAGCTAGGTAGGCGTGAACCTGCGTTGCTTGGTCCTACTTGCACAAACCAGGCCTCCGCCTTGGTCTACCGGCCAACCTCCTGGCCATTATAAGATGACAAGACGTCGTCCGCGCCTAGGATCGTAGCTATTCTGGTATCCTGGTCGTCAGGCGCTCGACATATTTTGCCAAACTTTTGACTATCCCCCATACTAGGTTTGTCAACGCTGCGCCTTTCGACGCGTCGTCCAACATAAATTTCACGCCTATGCGCAAGGTGAAGTTTTTATCCTCTTCGCGCTGGGTCCTGCCAGAGGCCGAACTAGTTGCGAAGTAAATCTAGTCTTTATAAAATAAAAGAAAAATATAATCAATAAAAAAAATTACAGAAGAGAGAGTAACCGGCCATACGGCTTTGGCGCCATTTCGCCAACCTAGCATTGCCGATGACTAACGGCCACCTCATAGTGCAACGCAATAAAGCGTGCCCCACATACTCTCTAATTCGGTCGTATTTGACTCGGAGTCTCGCCAAGAGCGAGGTTGCCGAGGTAAGCGCCCTGATGGGGTCATCAGCGCGTTTCATTGATCAAGGACGCACCCAGTGCGACCTTTGAAAAGGACGGCAAATACCCTTGTAAGGGTGTTTGCCAACATGAGGTTCTCCCTGCTTCGCCTGTGTTGCTGGAAGAGCCTAGAAAGCTCAGGAATTATTTCTGATTCTCACGAGTATGGAGGATGTAACCAACTGGCGCATGGAAACTGTCTGGCACCCATGAAACTTTGCCAAAATTGGCAAACTCAGGCCATATTGAAATTCAAGGGCCCGCCTTCACTTAGGGTGGGCTCATGCTTGTTGAAAGGGCCCTGCAGGGCCGCATGTAGAGGAGCAAACTTGTAACAAGGCCTCGTCGAAGATCCATGCCCACATAGGGATTCCAACAGGCTCTGCTTGGGCCCCTCAGCCTGGTATCGTAGCCCTATAAACAGGCGTTGGCACATATTTGCAGGCCCGCCTTCACTTAGGGGAGATGCGACACTTTCAGACACTGCCGAGGGACTAAATCCTCGCATACCTTCCCCCTTAGCTTCGAAAGTCCCATGAGAAAGCCTTTTGTTCACTCCATCTGTTACTCAACTCAAACTTGTTAGCTTGCTCAGATTTGCTGATGTAATTGCAAGCCTTCTCGCTGGTTTGAACGCTACCACCTCCCTACTCAAAGTATCGTAGGTCATGGTAGACTCTCTACTCTTCTCGAAGAAGTGCCCGCGCAAAGGCTCGGGCATGGCACGATAAAACAAGTGGACCAGCTGGGTCTCAGTGACCCCATGGCCAGGGACAACTACCAATTCATCCATGACACCCTTGAGTGCCCTAGCGCTCCTCCATTGGCGGGAATGAATAGTCTGCAGCTTGTCAAAGGCTCTAACACTTGGCGTGACATCTGCAAACCTCTCGCGCCCTTTGTTCTTTTATAGCCTTCAATTCTTTCGCAGCTTTGCTTATCTCCTCCATTCTCTTGTTCTTCTCCTTCCACTCCAGGGAGAAGAAGAAGAGAATGGAGGAGATAAGCAAAGCTGCGGAAAAATTGAAGGCTATAAAAGAACAAAGGGCGCGGATGGAGGCGCAAGCAGATATACAGGGGAAGATGGAGGTGATGTCAAGGAATATTGAGCTCCTGGCTAAAGCATGGGATGAGCAGTATCAGTTCACTAGGAGCCAGGATATAGCCTTGCGATCAATTCGATTGGGATTTAGAGAGTTTGCGCGTGACATGATGATGCACATGGGCTCAGAAGCAACGGCGAGGCTAGAGAACATAGAGCGACTCTGCACGGACGCCATAGAAGGCGCAAAACTCGTTGCTCCAAGGGAGGAGGAAGCTCGTCCCCGCAGAGAGCCAGTCAAGGTAAAGTTCCTTGACTCTTACAGTGGGAAGGAGGAGGAGAACTTCGATAATTGGGAGGTGAATGTGAACTCCTACGTACACCTGCAAAAGATAGAGCCTTTGACAAGCTGCAGACCATTAATTCCCACCAATGAAGGAGCGCCAGGGCACTTAAGGGTGTCATGGATGAATTGGTAGCTGTCCCTGGCCATGGGGTCACTGAGACCCAGCTGGTCCAATTGTTTTATCGTGCCATGCGCGAGCCTTTGCGAGGGCAAGTCTACCATGACCTACGATACTTAGGGAAGTGGTAGCGTTCAAACCAGCGAGAAGGCTTGCAATTACATCAGCGAATCTGAGCAAGCTAACAAGTTTGAGTTGAGTAAGAGATGGAGTGAACAAAAGGCTTTCTCACGGGACTTTCGAAGCTAAGGGGGAAGGTATGCGAAGATTTAGTCCCTCGGCGGTGTCTGAAAGTGCCATGCCTGCCCTAAGTGAAGGCGGGCCTGCAAGCTAACAAGTTTGAGTTGAGTAACAGATGGAGTGAACAAAAGGCTTTCTCACGGGACTTTCGAAGCTAAGGGGGAAGGTATGCAAAGATTTAGTCCCTCGGCAGTGTCTGAAGTTGTCGTGCCTGCCCTAATTGAAGGCGGGCTTGCAAATATGTGCCAATGCCTATTTATAGGGCTATGATACCAGGCTGAGGGGCCCAAGCAGAGGTTGTTGGAATCCCTATGTGGGCATGGATCTTCGACGAGGCCTTGTTACAAGTTTGCTCCTCTACATGCGGCCCTGCAGGGCCCTTTCAGCAAGCATGAGCCCACCCTAAGTGAAGGCGGGCCCTTGAATTTCAATATGGCCTGAGTTTGTCAATTTTGGCAAAGTTTCGTCGGCGCCAGACAGTTTCCATGCGCCAGTTGGTTTCATCCTCCATACTCGCGAGAACCAGAAATAATTCATGAGCTTTCTAGGCTCTTCCAACAGCACAGGCGAAGCAGGGAGAACCTCACATTTTCTTCTCGGTGGTTGGGCGTGCCTAACCAATCTGGTCCCAGGTGTGGCGGACCCACCAGGTGTGGTGCTCCGCCTGGGATAGAGATGGAGATGGAGGATGAAGGGGGAGCGAGATGGCACAACGCAGCTCCCACGCTGGATTCCAACGCACATACTCCAAAATGTGCCAATGTAGAATGATCTCAAAAACAGACAACAGTTGGGGTATACCCCAGCAGACTGATTGGACTGGACTGGACTACCCCGAATACAACACAGGCTTGTGAAAACAGGCCAAGGGGCTGGTCTCACAGGCCAACCAGAGGTCCGCTACACGATCCTCGGCCTGTGATGGATCGCCTGCATACAAGCACGCTTCCGCCAAGAAGCGGAACTCTACCAAAGAAATAGAAAACCCGAGTAGTCTAGGATGCGGAGCAAGCTCCATGTTGAGTCCATGCGATGCAACCTAGGATAGAAAATGTCACAAAAACAGCAATGTCACAGCTAACAGCCTAAGTGAGAGCAAAAGCAACTAACTACGATACATGTCCTAAGAAAGCAGAAAGTAATGACAGCTAGATCCTAGAATGTTGGAGGCAGTAGCCTTAGTCTGGAAACAGTTGACTAGTGTATAAGTCCTAAGAATAGCAAAAGCATAAACAACTAAATCCTAGAAATGTTAGAGGCAGTAGCCTCAGTCTGAGAGCAGCAAAGCAATGACAAGATAACCATATGTCACAAGAGAAGTGTGTCGCAAACCACAGGGTGGGATGGTCTATGAGGGTGGCGAATGCAGCCTAGGGGTCGCTAACTCCTAAGGGCATCCACACAAAATGACAGGGAGACACATGTCATCAGGCTCAATGAGGGTAGGGAACTGGGAGCGAACAGAACCAACGACCCTAACAGGTAGACCGTCAGGGCAAGTAATGCTCGACTAAAGGGGTGACCGCTATGGTGGGTTGACCATGCAAGGGAACAAGGGAGCCTGGTATACTGGGTGCACCTAGATGAAGCATGCGAGGCTGCATAACTAGGGCGTGAGGGTCGGCCGAGGGTAGAAAAAGTGATGGGTAAGGGAATCATGCAAATGACTCCTAAGGTGGGGGAAGTCGGAGGTGGATCTGTAAGATGGGAAGCCAAGGCAACGCTACGGTCCCGATGCCTATGCGTATACCAAGGGAGAGCCCAACTCAGAGGAACCCAGCGAAGGGAGACCATCATGCGACACAACCAGGGTACTGTATAGGGTAAAGTGGTAACAGAGTGACGACGTCTGAAGTAGGCAGAGTTGATCGTGACGAAGTCCATGAAGCTGCCGACGACGTCCATGATGAGAACTCTAGAATGTTGTCGAGGAAGAGCCGAAACGTCGACGAGGTGAAGTGGCAAAACTGGAGTGGATGGAGTACTGAGAAGTCAAAGATGTGGGAAGATAAGTCAGTGTCAATCGTCGTATCGAGCAGGACGACGACGAGTGCACTGTGGACGCTCAGAAGCATCCAGCTGCTGCTGAAGGTCTGCCTCAAATGGAGCAGGCTCGACTTCAGCGGTCTCCTCAGCCGAGGGAGGAGGAGGGTCAGTGGGCCGAGGAGGAGCAGTCAACCCAGCACGACGAGCACGGTCATAGGCACGCACCAACATGCGAGCGTGCTGCAAGTGCTCGAGGGGCTCCCAGGTAGCCTCCTCTTCAGGGTAACCCTTCCAACGTACGAGATACTCGACGTGAGGAGGGTTGTCGTTGGTGACTCAGTGACCAATGACGGCTCAACTGCGGAACTCCTCGTGGCCGTCCACCATGATGGGTGGACGGCGCGAAATGCACAGACGGTCTGCGGTAGGGACGCAGTAACGAGACGTGGTAGACATCGTGCACATGAGCCTGGCATAGGTAGTCGGGCAGCTTCACACGGAAGCTGACCAGGCTATCAGAACCGACGACCTGGAGAATGCGGCATGGGCCAAAGAAGCGACGCCGAAACTTGCGAAGCATGTCCGCTTCGAGTTGTAAGTAGCGCGCATCGATAAGCACATCATCACCGACTTTGAATGGATGATTCATCCTCGATCAGTTCACACGTGCGGCCATGCGAGTCTGGGAAGTGGCTATGTGCTCATGCGCGGTCTTCATGATCGACGTCATGTGTGCAACCCAATCATCCTGCGCGAGACAACTCGTGTCGGGGTGCATCTATGACGGTCGAAGGAAGTCCGCGGGAACACGAGGGTGATAGCCGAGGTCGCAATAGTAAGGCAACATCCCTGTGGCTGGCGATACGGCGTGGTTGTAGGTTACCTTCACGTGGGCAAGATGGAGATCCTACTGCTGGTCGTCACGAACAATCTTTCGGAGAATATCTCCGAGAGTCCTGTTCGTGACCTCGGTCTGACCATCAGTCTGGGGATGGTAAGACGAGGAGAAGCGGAGTTGGGTGTCGTACACCTCGTGGAGCCGTCGCCAAAATCAGTTGGTAAAGCACGGGTCACAGTCAGATATGATGCTTAGAGGTAAGCCATGGTCATGCACGACTCGGTCAACACGATGCCAGTGACCTCACGTGCACTGATGGCATAGCGGCACGGAACAAAGCGTGCGCACTTCGTGAAGCGGTCGACAACGACTAGGATAGCATCATGACCGCGGGGGGTCAGAGGACGAAGAGGACCGATAAAGTCCATCGAGATGGACTGCCAACAACCCTCAGGGATAGGAAGAGGCTGGAGCAAACCATAGGGCAGGTGGTTCCCACTGTTCACCTCCTGACAGGTGGGACATTTTGCGACGTAGTCCTTCACAAAGTCCTTGCGCTTCGGCCAGACGTACAGGCGGCTCACACGAGCCAACGTCTTGTGGAAGCCCATATGACCGGCGGCTGCCTGGTCATGGAACTCTGCTACTGCCCGGACACGTAGCTGCCAAGTGGAAGGAACACAAATGCGGGGCTCTCTGGTGCCCTGTGAACCATGCCAGTACACAAGACCGTTGTTCCCGAGAGAGTAGTTCGGGACGGTCTTGCCACTCCGAAGGGTCGCGTGGATGTCGCGATAGTCGAGGCAGTGGCGGTACTGGGTGCGAAACTCGTCGATCACCAAGTGGTGGACGGTGGTGACCGAGATGGCAGCAAGCTGAATCTGCTCCAGATCGTGGTCAGCGCGTCGGGATAAGGCATTTGCGACCCGATTAGTCTCACCCTTGATGTGCTCAGTGGTGAAACTAAACTCGGATAGGTCGCGCTACCAGCGAGCTTGTCGAGGAGTGAGCTTCGGCTTTGTCAGAAAAGCCTGGACAACAGAGTTGTCCGTGCGCACCGTGAATGGTGCCCCGCGCAGGTAGTGATGCTAGTGCCGAGTGACATAAACTACTGCGAGAACCTCACGTTCATCAGCAGTGTAGTTTATCTCGGCGGGCAGGAGCTGACGGGAGTAGAAGGCTATCGAACAATCACCTGAGCGAGACTCAACAGTGCGGTCCTCAACGATGGTAGGAGAATAGTCAATAAAAGGCTCGTTAGTAGCTGGACGAGTAGGCGTCAGGCGGGAATTAGTGGTAGGGGTAGGGGGTGGGAAGCGAGGGATACGAGGATGAGAGGAATCAGGAGAGGAGGGGAAAATTTGAGAAAGCACTGCTCCTACAGCAAAGTCTGACGTAACGGTGGTAATGATATAAGGGCGATCAAAATCGAGTAGGTGAAGAACCAGTGCACATGTCACCGCCTTCTTGAGCGCGAGGAAGGCGTCGTCATGGAGGGGTGTCCAAGCCCATGGCGGGTTCTTCCGAAGGAGGGTGGAGGTAAGGACGTAGGAATACCTAGCGTATCCCTGGATGAAATTACTATAGTAGCTAGTGAGGCCTCTAGGAAGCTGCGAAGCTACTTGGTGGATGTGGGGACGGGCCACTCTACAATAGCAGTGATCTTTGCGTCGTCCATGTGGAGACCCTGGTCAGACACGTAGTGTCCTAAGAAATCCACTTTCTGCTGGGGAAAGCGGCACTTGCTCATCTTGGCGTAGAAGCCATGTCTGCGCAAGCGGTCACCTAGCCACGGTGCAGCGTACACCTACGCCCTCCTCAGTAGCCAGTTTCCCGACATCTCCGTCGCGGTTTGCCCCTCTCGCTACTGGAGCTGAGGTATCGCAGGACCTGGCAGAGTGTACTCAGTCGTCTGTCGCAATACCGTCTGCGCCTCCACAGACCACCGTCTCCCCTCCTACCCCTTCGCGACTACCAACGTGTCGAGCCATTCGCTCAGCCCATTGCAGCGAATAACTTGCGACTCACGAGGAGGTTGTGTTGTTTCTTCTGGACTTGAGCATCCACCAGGCTCGTCAGGAGCGACTCACCCTACATGTCGCTGCACTGTGTCGCCTTCTCACCATCCTCTCTGACCCTGATCGTACCCTCGCGATCATTCTAGTACGACTGGGGACCTCCACGAGGGGGTACTCAGCGCTGTGGGATTCCAGTTCTCAGGGCGACGTCGTCACCCTAGGAGATGATAAGACCCAGCGCTTCTTCGATCAGACGGTCACCGACCTCCCCTTCTTCCTCACTCTCGAGTCGACTGATCGTCCCCCGGCATCTCGTCGCCACCGCTCCTCTGCAAATTTCGATGTGATGGAGAGGGGCACGATTTCATTCCTCAACGGAAAGAACACCGCGAGGAGGGACAAAGCCCTGAGGGAGGTCCTGCTGAGGGACCTCAGGGGGCGATGTCGAGCGCATCGGTCCGGCACCGCACAAAATGGGGTGGGACCCTCTCGGCCGCGTCACGCAGGAGTTGGTTTATTCCTCATCACGAATACATATGGAGCTTCCGCAAGCCGCTCCGGCCGAGCCCCTACGACAGGATAGGGACTACGCGAGGCACGACTTACTTCCACCTTCCGGAAGTTGTTACCTCCCTTCGGTGGGCGTATCCCCACCGAGCTACCAGTCCACAGTACGAAAGCTAATCAACTGCAATCGCAGAGGTGGACCAGCCGAGAGCGTTTCTCATTCGTTGTAGCATAGGGGGTACGCGCGGTCTTACGCCTCTATCGGACCCGCATGCGAACCGACGCCTTGGGGGGATGAGGTCCCAAGCGCGACTCGTCGTCGGTCGACTAGGACGCATCCCACATACCACGCATACTTCACTCTAAGAAACATAAAAATAAAAACACACACACATACACATACATATACAGAATGACACAGAACAAACAATGCGACAACACTCGTAGTCCCGTAGTAGTTATCCCATAACTCTCTGCTGCGGAAATCGAATAGGCGACGCACGCGAGACTTAGTATAAAACCGCGTGGACGCAGGGCTAATCTCATATCAACTCGCAATGCAAGCAAACGCAAGCAGTCGCAATGATGGCGAACTATGTAGCACCCATACTCATGTGGTCCTCGTTAACCTCGAGGGTCGCATTCGACACTCAAGTGTCGGTTGACACGCGCCTTGAGGGATTGATCTCTGGACGATGGACAACTGCCAAGTGCGGTTGAGAACCATACCATCTTCTGCACCCTGCGGAGAGTGGGTGGTACACAGGTTTATACCTGTGGTGGCAATCGTCTCTTATCGCCCTGGATACCAGCTCCATCATCCAGGGTCTAGTGAGAAATCAAGGGGTTTGACTTTGACGGTCGCCACGGACTACAACGTCCAACTATAAAAAAACTCTAAAAAGCAAAGGATAACAGGGGATCTTCCTTTTCTCTCAAAGAAAACATATTTGTTTTACCCTTATGCGCGTCACAGTAGACCACGTGAAACATATATATTTACATATATATGGAGGGTTATAATTATGTGACGATCACTTCTCACAATCACAGTGAGACTCGTTTCAACCATATATATGTATATGATCGCAGGCAGTCAATCCAAAGTCCGAACCACCAAACATACCTGCAATCACATCAAAGATTCAACCAAAAGTCCATGCACTACACGGGGTCAACTTCAACCATTCTCTGCACTCACACCCCTCGCTTTAGCCATACAAGCCTCACTCTTGTCCAACTCCTCAAAATAAAATACTCAGTACTTTCATTAAGTGACCATTCAAATAAAGTCCGGGCGAAAACACTCCTTTTAGAAATCAAGTCACAAGGCTAAAGCCTTTAGGTTGAGTCGTAAACCGATGAATTGGTAATCGACCTGTTATCAGCGATAACAGAAGATGATCCTCATAGAATCAAGTTGAAACTAGTCCAGATCCCGAATCAAACGATCAAGAGGACCTGTAGCATAGGACAGACCAATACCCAAGCTAAATTCATAAGTGTATGGAGAATAAAGCTCCATAGCACATTCTCACCCAAGGTCCTCCTACAAGCTAGACCTAGGCCTATCTCTAAGCCATTACCCAACGTAAGGTAATTCAGGGTGGATTGCCAGAAATGCCACTTGTCAAAATATAGTTTAACTCCTTTAAACTGAGAAAATTATGGTAGTGCTTCCTATAGGAAAAGTGCCTTCTCAAAATTTATACTAACTCAAATATGAAAACAAAAACAATCTC